ACTAAAACAAATTAGCCGCACGCCGTAAAGCGAAAGTGGGAAATCGGGGAGAAGTTCCGTTACTCGTTTGAAGTGATAGTCCACAGGATTGCCAACTTTGCGAGGAAAACGCGGAAATTGACCTCTTCAAAGAAATATAAGGCCTCGAAAAAGTATTAAAATTAGGGAAAATAGAATAACAAAAGTAGCAAAAAAAAGGGTATTTCGACCAGCTGTTCAAATGCGCGTACTATTGCATGCAACTGTCCGCAGTAAACTGCCTGCGTGCCAGGTGTCGGTCCCGGTGCGAATGGTAGGTCCATGAGCTACTCGAACTCGGTACTTTAAAAAGTGGCGGTCGCACCCATTTTTCCGCTTTCGTCTCACTCTCCTAAATGGATTCTTCATCTGCCTTGCTGCTCTGGCTGGTAGACCCTCACCCCTACCCCATCAGAGGGCCTCACCCAGGATATTTTTATCTGCGTGTAACCGTGGATAGCGCAACCTCTAAAGCCTCTATAACGCCGTGAAAACTCGTCCGCCATGAGCGTGAAGTCGGCTAGGAGAACGTCGGTTCCGCGCGTCCGTCGGAACCATGTCAACCCGACCAATGCGCAACCCACTGCGATCTTGAAATGACATTAAGTACCACTAAGTGGAGCGAATGATTTGCACTAGTCCATTTTATCTTCTGTTCATTCCGTCCAAGCTTGAATCGTATGCTCGATTAACAACTGCGACGTCCGCGGGCTGATGCGTCGCGTGCAACGGCTGTGGCATCACCTTGTTTCGACGGACGCGCGGAACAAAGCGCACCTCGTCGACTTAGACGGTTCTGAGGCCCTTATTACGCCCTATCTTGACCGTTTTTTGACTCCACAGCGTCGCTTAGCTATCCTTGGGGGTTACAGGTTCATCCCAGGAAGGAGTTTCAAAACCCTTTTTAACGTGAAGTGTGCTTTCAGTTGACAAGTTTGCTATTTAGACATCAGTGGAGACAGAACTTATTGAACCATAGATGATCTAGAAGTCTCTATGACGAGTTTCGATGTGGAAAGACGCGCCACGTTTCTTTCCTTTCTCCCTTTTCTAAAAATAAAGTAGAGATCATTACTTTGGCGTCTCAACATGCATAACCCGTCTTTACGGTCAATATGTATTTGAGGGGGGGGGGGGGG